AAGTAATTGAGGAATGAAAAATAGAGAGAATAAAGTGTTGATTAATTAATTGATTTTTTACGACTTATCAACCCGTTATGGGTTATTTAAAGGCGAGACATATTTTGGATTGTAAGAATAATTTATTTGTCGCGATTGAATATTACATTAACAGTTACTCACAAATAACAATGATGTTTCCAGATATTAGTCCTACTATTTAAACCATATCTGGGGTTAATGAGGTGGATTCATAACTTTCCCAGGGGTATTTACGCATAAGTGAATGTAACGAACCCAAGAGAAATTCGAACTCAGCTCTCTGATTTCTCAGTCGAGTCGTTATCCATTAGGAATTGAAAAGAAAGTGGGAGAAAATGAAGATGATGAAGATGAGAGAAGATGATTGATATTTAACCTGGAGATATCAAAAAATGAAGCAATCCATCTTTGTACTCGGTAGACATGTTTGAACTTTAAAGCGAAACTTTTATTCAATGTCCGCAGGTTGACTATTCTCATTCCGTTTTTAATGCTTATAGAATTAAAAAAAAAAAAATCTTTTTTTGCTTTCTTTTTTGTTTGTTTTCCTTTTTGAATCATTCACCCCCATGCAAGGTAATAAAGCCACTGAGACACACGGGTTACAAAATGTTATGGTCCGGTTCCTTGTACCACGGTGATTGTCCAAGGTAGAACCAATAAAGAACTCAACACGTATATGGAAAAACACAGCTATATTACAAACAGGAATATATATAGAACAGTAGAAAGTGCATGTACGAACAATCAGGTTTAGTAGTAATTGTCTGAACGCGACTCTGTTTCGGACTGCCTCTGATTCGACTGACTGACTCGCTCGCTCTGACTGACTGACAGACTTCTGACAGATTTCACTCCAGACTTCAGACTGAACTCTAGACTTCAGACGGAACTCTCTGCTTTCTCTTGAGGCGCAGTATTTATTACGTATGGAATAGTCCATTATGTTATTATGGGTAAGGTCCCATAACACTAAATGTGAAAGAATAAGAAAAAAAAATAAGCATTATTAAGTATACGAGAACAATAGAAGAGTAATCAAGAAGAGACTAGATAAAGATTGTCATTGCGTTGAAATTTTTCAAGATCAAAATTGGTTGGAAAGTTTGGAGCCGGAAGAGAAGTACGTCAACGAGAAAAGAAACTGTTAGCATAGAAATTACGCTTACATCTAACCATTTCAACTGTGAATTGATGAAACCTTGCCACCAATCTAGTACTGTTTACAGCGAAGAGTACATCGAAAAAAATTAACATGAAAATATTTATAGAAAAGGCACAGGAAAGATGGGAATTTAACTGAAGCCGAGATGCCAGGTTAGGACCAATATTATTGCAAATTCTTCTTTAGATTAGAACATATCTTATTCTATGGCAGTTGTCAGTTCAATCCTTGGGTTACAGAGTCCTGAAAAGCCACTACCTGCTTCAATAGAAGAAACAGGTAAGCGACACAAAAGTGGATAAAATCGGCGAATATTAACTGATATGAAGTATTCACCAACCTAATATGTGTCGTTTATCCGTTTCTTCCATTTCAGCAATTCCAAGAGTTTTGAACTCACAACTATCATGAAACCAAATATGTTTTAAGCAAGTCTTTAGCCAGACTATGACAACCAAGCAGATCGCTTCTCCTGAATAACAAAACATTTAATAATTCCGACAAAGCGAGGAAATTTGTTCTAAGGGAGCCATATACACCGATGGAATATTCAATTTGAGCTTAAGTTGGTTAGAAACGTCTAGTCAGATATATAGCCGTATATGGAATTAGGTTGGAAAAGGCGTGGTGATATTTATGTTTCTGTGTGTCTCTGGTTGCAAGGTTCTGGTTTGATGGGTTTGTGGCTGAAATAGTTGCATATTTCGGACCGGTATTTAAAAGTAAGTGTTCGAGTCGGGATAAAATCTCTTAGCACTGAATGATGATTTTCTGGGCTGATATAACCTCTTGACTTTGAAGATTAATGCAATGCAGTAACTCTGCTCCCCTTTTACCCGTATTTAGACTAATGCTGGACTAATCTTAGTTTAGTAAATACTAAGCGAGACTAAGTTAAAAATGTGCATCAATTTATATGCATCAAACAGAAGCTGGAATAATTTACAATTAATAAATGTAGGAAAAGAAAGAAACAAAGAAACAAACAAAGAAACAAAGAAAAAACAAACAAACAAACAAACAAAATATTTTGATTTGGTTTGGTTTGCTTTGTTTTACGGCATATCAACCTCAGTAGGTTATTTAATGCCGACAACTTTTTTCTTTTTCTTTTCTTTTGTCAAAAATCTATTTCTGGTAATATTTTTTTTCTTTTCTAGTAATAATTTTTTACAAAGCATTTGTAGTATTAAAACCATTTTTTTTTTCTTTTTTTTTTAAGCATTTCACCCCAAGCAAGACGGGAAGCCACTAGGACGCAAGGGGTTACAGAAAATTTAGAGCAAGATCAGATTGGAGTGATAGAAGAAAGGATGAGGGTAGTGGATAGATCAAGGCAACTGGAGATGTCGATTGACATTACACTTGAATAGCTGGAGATTATAGTTCACAGGGAAACAGGAAAAGGGAAGGGAGTTCCACAGGCGTGAGGTGCGAGACATGAAGCTATTAGAGTTTTTTACACCTTTATAATGCTTTTTACCTCAGGTTACCTAATAGGTTCTACCACTGCAGGTCAGGGTGGACCTAGGAACACCAGCAATTAAGAGGTAGTTTCACGCTCCTCAAAACCTCCTGATGAGCGGACTTGCTGTTGGACGTAGTTTATCGTCTTACTCTGGACGCGGATGTAGTTTATCGTCATACCCAGGACGAAAAATGTTTTGAGGACAGTTAAGAAGAGTAAGACAGAGAGAGACACAAAGGGAGAGAAAGATTGACAGAGAAAGAGAAAGGCAGACATATAAAGGAAGAGCGATCATGAACTAGTTGAGAAGAGGAATAACAATCACACAAAATAATTACAAAAATTACCAAAAAATCTTCCTACTATTCGGATATGTCCGATCATGGCTCTTCACAACTTCCTACCCTTTGCAGTCCTTAGTAAATTTTGTCTTTTTGCTATATCCCCAACCCTTTACACAAGCTCTCTAGGTAGGTTATTCATTGTTTTCCTCTGTCCCCCTTGCTCTTTCAATATGTCCTGTGAGTGTCATTTTTTTCAAACCCTCTTTCCTTATGTGCCCTCAAAATGCCAACACATCTTCCTTGATGCTACTTATAAAGAGTCCTTTTTGTTTCCATTTTATTTTTCTCTAAAACTTCGTCTTTGCTCACCTGTTCAATCCATAGTATTCTCGGCATCCTCCTGTTGACTCACATTTCTGTTGCCTCAAGTCTTTTCGACATCTGTCCAGCATTCACTGTCATATAGGAGGACCGATATGACATAACTGTCAAGTCCTCTTTTCTTTTTTTTTTATTAAATTTTCCTGTTTCTTAATACTTTGCTTACCTATTGTAAGGCATCTTTCGCTCTAACAATGCGACTTCGGATTTCGGTTTTGGTTTGATTTGTTTTGTTTTACGGCATATCAACCTCAATGAGTTATTTAATGCCGACAACTTTTTCCTGGGAATATTTTTTGTTAAAAATCTATTTATGGTAATATTTTTTTCCTCAAAAATGTATAGCTGGTAATATAATTTTCAAAAATATATTGTTGGTAACAGTTTTTTCCTTCAAAAATTTATTTCTGGTAATAATTTTTAACAAAGTATTTGTAGTATTAACACCTATTTTTTACACTTTTATAATGCTTTTTACCTGATTTTCGGGGTTAACTATTTGCCCAAAGCGGGGACCTTAACAGGTGCTACCACCCCGGGTCAGGGTGGACTTGGGAACACCAGCAATTAAGAGATGGTTCCACGCTCCTCAAAACCTCCTGATCAGCGGCCTTGCTGCTGGTTGTAGTTTATCGTCTTACCCAGGACGCGGATGTAGTTTATCGACTTACCCAGGATGCGGTTGTAGTTTATCGTCTTACCCAGGACGCGGACGTAGTTTATCGTCTTACCCAGGACGCGGATGTAGTTTATCGTCTTACCCAGAAAGCGGATGTAATTTATCGTCATACCCAGGGTGCTCGGATTTCGGTGTCGCATAAACTAACGCCTAAAAAAAAATTTGGTAGAAATAGGAAAATAAAAATTTGAAAGTGAAGACCTTATTTGGTGAGATTGTTGCCTAAAAACTGGAAAAGGTTGCCAGGGTTCGATCTATGGCGAAATTTATTGAATGCAGATTTTCAGGGTAGGTTTATAGTGTGCACTTGAGAGCCTTTTTCTCGAAATGTTTATAAATAATTCATTTTGGCACCCTAACTCCTTTCCCCTGGACTGTACCTCCTCTTTCCGTTAAAAAGAATTAATGAAGACATTTCCTGGTGTCTACAGTGACTTCAGAAATTACTGAGGCTCTACAGACATTCTGAGGGAATCGTGCGCGAATGAAATTTCTGAATGACGCGCTGGATTAAGCGGGAATTCGTCAAAATAGCAAGAGGTCAGTGTGATCGAATGTCGCCAAGCAAGGAGAGATGGTGGTCACGTGTTTAATGGAGGCTTGTTTTCTTTTAATTTACTTGAAACCTATGAGATCGTTTATCCGATTTCCGCCTTCGGTGAGTTAGAGAAATATAAAATTAAATTAATCTCACCAGCTTTTCAACGTCTCAGCATATAAGTATATTTATTTATTTTACAAGGAAGAAGGAGGATTTCTTATTTGCGTTTTATTTATTTGTTTTGTTTCGTCAGGATATTTTTCTTTTGAACTGCTGTCCACTTTTGAGGGAGGTTAGATGTTGATTTTGGAAAAATGCATAAGAATGTTCTAGAAGATGAAGATGAGAGGAAGAAAGAAACAAAGAACAATGGGAAAACGGCGTAAGAGAAGAATATCAGGAGGAAAAGAAAGATCAAAATAATGCTTGACAAAAGGGAAGTGAAAGAAATAAAGATGAAGTTAATGTGTGAGAGGGAGTAAAAGAAAGAAAGAAAGAAAGAAAGAAAGAAAGAAAGAAAGAAAGAAAGAAAGAAAGAAAGAAAGAAGAAAAATCAAGTTAATGCTCGAGAGAAAGTAAAAGAAAGAAAGAAAAAAGAAATATCAAGGTAATGTGAGAGAGTAAGATAAAGAAAGAAAGAAAGAAAGAAAGAAAGAAAGAAAGAAAGAAAGAAATATGAAGTAAATGTGAGAGTGATGATGACAAAAGAACAAAGAAATATGTAGTTAATGTGAGAAACAAAGACAGTGAGAGAGAAGGAGGAAAAGAAGAAGGGAGAGGAGGAAGAAAGAAAAAGATCAACTTAATGCGCGAGAAAAAGTAAAAGAATGAAAGAAGGAAATAAAGAAAGAAATATAAAGTTAATGTGCAAAAGGAAGGAAGAAAGGAAGGAAGGAAGGAAGGAAGGAAGGAAAAAGTTAATGCGCAGAAGACGGTGAAAGAAAGAAAGAAAGAAAGAAAGAAAGAAAGAAAGAAAGAAAGAAAGAAAGAAAGAAGGAAAAGTTAATGCGAAGAAAGAAAGAAAGAAAGAAGGAAAGAAGGAAGGAAAGAAGGAAGGAAAGAAGGAAAAAGTTAATGCGCAGAAGACGGTGAAAGAAAGAAAGAAAGAAAGAATGACGGAAAGAAGGAAGGAAAGAAGGAAGGAAAAAGTTAATGCGAAGAAGACGGTGAAAGAAAGAAAGAAAGAAAGAAAGAAAGAAAGAAAGAAAGAAAGAAAGAAAGAAAGAAAACGTTAATGCGCAGAAGACGGTGAAAGAAAGAAAGAAAGAAAGAAAGAAAGAAAGAAAGAAAGAAAGAAAGAAAGAAAGAAAGAAAGAAAGAAAAAGTTAATGCGTAGAAGACGGTGAAAGAAAGAAAGAAAGAAAGAAAGAAAGAAAGAAAGAAGGAAAAAAGTGCGAGAGAAAAGAAAGTTGATGCGTTACATAATGTGAAAGAAAGAAAAAAAAATCAAGTTAATGTGAGAATGAACGACAGAAAGAAAGACATATAAAGTTAATGTAAAAGAAGGTGAAGTAAAGTCAAAGAAATATCAAGTTAATGTGTGAAAGAAAGAAAGAAAGAAAGAAAGAAAGAAAGAAAGAAAGAAAGAAAGAATGATCCGGTTAATACGCGACAGAAGGTAAAATGGAAAGACAGAAATATTAATGTGCGCGTGAAATTAAAACAAAAGAAGAAAGAAAGAAAGAATCAAGTTAATGCGTGAGAAAACTGAAGTTAAGACAAATAAAATCTCAAGTTAATATGCGAGAGAAAGTAAACGAAAGAAAAGAGCAAGTTAATGCATGACAGAGGTTAAAAGAAAGAAAGATCCACTTAATGCATGGGAGAAGGTAAAAGAAAGAAAGAAATATCCACTTAATGCATGGGAGAAGGTAATAGACAGAAAGAAAGGTCAAGTTAAATCGTGAGAGAAAATAAAAGAAAGACAAAAAGAAAATAGATAAAGTTAATGCGTGAGAGATAGTAAAAGAAAGAAAGAAAGAAAGAAAGAAAGAAAGAAAGAAAGAAAGAAAGATCAAGTTAATGCATGGGAGAAGGTAAAAGAAAGAAAGAAAGTAATATCTAGTCAATGTATGAGAGAATAAGCAAAATGCAGAATCGGGAAATACCAACGATGGGAAGAGAGAATGTAAAATAAAATGTGACCTGCCCGGTGGTCGAAATAGTTGCGTATTCCCTACCGGAATCGAAAGCCAGTATCCAAGCCCAGGTGAAGAATATTAAAAAAAGCATTTAGAATTCTAATATTCATGGTAAACATCCTTCCCTGAGTTGCTTGCCATATCTGAGTCTGGTACTCCTGCTGTACATCTTGAGATTCTTGACAAAATCCAAAGAAGGATCTGTAATGTAATCGATCCTGACTTGGTATAACGACTTCAGTCAATCTCTTGCCGACATGATGGGGCTTCCCTCTGTTTTTTCTATAAATATTTGCATGACAACTGATGAGCTATTTTTTTCCCCCAGGTGCTCCGACTACATGAATTTTAAGCGTGCTACTAGTTTGGCATTTATGCCCCACCCTTTGACTGTTGAAATAGCTAAATGCACTTCTACTCCAACGGTTTCTTTTCTCGCACATCCCGCCTGTGGAACTCTTGTTTACATTCTTCACTGATAACTACAATCTTCAAAAATTTAAATGCTTCGTCAGTCTCCATCTTCAGTCTTCTTCATCTTTTGTCTTTTCCTCAATCCTCTCTATACTCAGTCTTCTCTTTCACTTTCATTCCCTGTGAGCCATTGCGTACCAGTGACATTCCCGCCTTACTTGGGATGAAATGATTAAAAAAAACACAATATGCAATCTTCTAAATTCTTACTCAATTCGGTTTGGTATCACACTATGTTACAGTACATACTACGTGGGGAAAGAAAAACATTCGTGTATTTGCTTGGGTGAGGGTCTGTTTTACCGTTAAAAAAGAAAAACTCCAAGTGTTTTCCGCGGTCGCAGAGATGGTGTTCGCGCCAAAACATTTTTAAAAAATGAGATTTTCAATGCTGAATTTTAAGACAGCTAAATCTTGGAAAATTAGCCAATGACAATGTTCTTCTTACTAATTTCACTTACGTGACTGTGAATTTTATACTCAAATCAGAAAAAAAAAGCAGCAAGTAAATTAAATATCTACACACATCTTCACCTTCCATTCAGTCGACTTCGCAAATTTTGTCTTTCATTGATCTTTTCTCCTCCTCTATCTTTTCCAGATTACTTTTTTTGTATCGCACTTGTCACCATTAACATAATCCATAAATAAGTGATTTCTAGTAACAATCACAGATGATAGCGCGTGATCACGAGTCTCCAAAACTTTCCTTAAAGATCTCTCCGAATGTTTTCAGTTCTTTGGATCTCTCATAACTTTCATTTTCTTAAGAAGAGTTTTGGCGACGTTCCCAGTGCTCCATTTATTATAGGCTCAACTGTCACATTCACAGTTTTGATGTTTATTTTCTTGTCCTTATTCATACAGCGATCCACAGCCACGGTATTAGATGCGCTTAAAGCTATTTCAAGGTTGAACATTTTATTTAGTATTCCATACCACGTGAGTTCGTTTTCATGGACGACAACATGACCACTTAGACTGTTAGAACTATCATTAGTAGACAAGATTCTCCTCTATACTCTTCAGCTTGTAGGCAACCTACGATTAACATTTAGGATATGTTAGTAACTTTGAGTCCACTTACTGAATTCGAAAAAAAAATTTGATTAAAAAATACCAACAACGAATGCGAAAACGAGGCTGTACATAAAATAAATAATAAACGGTAAAGTTTTACCTACCAACACCCAAACAAATTGCGTACAAATTGGTATTTACAAAAATGTGCAAAAAGCTTCTGTAGAAATATCATTTCATAGTTTTAAATTTTGGTTTTATGTTAATTAAAGCAGTTCTTTCGGCATGTACGTGTATGTGAAAAAGAAAATATATACCGATATGACAGAGAAGGTTTATTCATGCATATCTGTTCAGAAATAGAGAAAATGAGACAGTCAAATGGTGGCTAGCGTGTCTGGTATATGTATCTAGTGGTTTGGGCACCTGGACGTGGTGTAATGGTTAGAAAGCTTGTCTTGCTAGATCAATTACGACTGAGTAGTGAGTTCGATCCTCACTGGGTGCCCCATACTTTCGGCCTTGTGCCACATCTGAGCCGGGCTTAGAAAATCTCTATGTATCTAGTGGTTTGTGAGTAACTGGTCTGAAGTGTTTATTTGAAGCTGCTGCGGCAGCAAGTAGGTTTTTCGATAGGAGTGAATCTCCAGCCACTTACTTTTTCAGTTGCCAATTCGATTTTTATTTGTTTTCTGAAATAATACCGGCTCTTGGGCTTAGGAGTTTTGAAACAATATTGAAATATTTGATTGGCTAATTATTGTCTCAACAAAAACGTTCTCTACTACGTCTGCTCAAGTAAAGCTGATTTTCTTTTCCGTTCAGAAACTCGTAGCGAGCATTTTATCTATTTTTTAATATATCTGGTTGGTTGCTAATTATTTGAAATGTTTCCTGCTATTGATCACTTGTTTGCGGGTATAGACTTGAATAAAACCATATGGAGGTGTATAAACAAAAACATATGAATGTGTAAGCGTATAAAGACTTATGTATGCGTATGTGCATGAATAAAGACACATATTAATAAAGTCATGTGTATATGTATTAATAAAGACATGTGTATAAAGACATATGGGTGTGCAAGTGCAGGAATAAATACATATGTATGTGTATGGATAAAAGCATGTGTATGTGCACGTGTATAGATAACGATATGTATGTGTATGAATAAAGACATAAGTATGTCTGTGTATGGATAAAGACCTATGTGTATAAAGACATATGTATGTGTATATCTATAAATAAATACATGTGTAAGTGCATAGATAACGACATATGTGTGTATGTGCATGAATAAAGACATGTGTATGAATAAAACTATATGTATGTATATTAAGACATATGTATGTGTACATATATGAATAAAGACATGTATGCGTATATGTATTAATAAAGATATGTGTATGTGTATATGCATGAACAAAGGCATATGGATGTGAATGTGTATGAGCAAAGATATTTGTATGTGTATGAATAAAGATATATATATGTGTATGTTCATAAATATAGTATGTATGTGTATATGCATAAATAAAGGTGTATGTATGTGAATGTGTATGAGTAAAGATATGTGTATGTGTATGTGTATGAATAAAGATATATATATGTGTATGTTCATAAATATAGTATGTATGTGTGTATGCATAAATAAAGGCGTATGTATGTGAATGTGTATGAATAAAGATATATATATGTGTATGTTCATAAATATAGTATGTATGTGTGTATGCATAAATAAAGGCGTATGTATGTGAATGTGTATGAGTAAAGATATGTGTATGAATAAAGATATATATATGTGTATGTTCATAAATATAGTATGTATGTGTATATGCATAAATAAAGGCGTATGTATGTGAATGTGTATGAGTAAAGATATGTGTATGTGTATGAATAAAGACATATATGTGTATGTTCATAAATAAAGATATACTGCATAAATGTGTATGTGCATGAATGAAAACATGTATGTATATGTGTATGTGCATAAATAAAAACTTATGTATGTAAATGTGTAAAGATATTTGTATGTCTTTATGATTAAAGATATGTGTATTTATATGAGTAAATATATATGTATGTATATGTGCATGAATAAAGACATGTGTATGTCAATATGTATGAGTAAAGGCATATGTATGTGTATATCCTATGTTCTATCGTCTTCAATGAATTTAGTTTGAATTTCCACAAGATTTAGTTTAATGACCGAAGAATGTGTAAAAGCTGCAAAAATAATTAAGAGAAAATAGTAAGTCAGAAGAAACAGACGATACGTAAGGACGCTGTTTAATCGGCTTGACAAGTCATCATCGATAAAGATGAGCTGCCAACGAATGAAATCTGACCTCTAGTCTCATCCGAAGTTAGCTGTTCACTTTTAATTATTGCAAATTTAGATTTGCTGCTTGTTATTACGACGTTGTTTTAACCGACCCATTCTTTGGTTTTTCAAACTAAATTTGCAACAATTAAGAGTGAACAGCAATGTGGATAGAAATGACAAATTTCGGTGTTTTTTTTTCTTTAAAGATGTGTAAATAAAACAGTCTACCCCAGTGAGCGAAATACAGGGTTCAGTTCGACATTCCAACCACCCGAAGAAGACCGGAGCGTACAACGGCCGAAACGTTGTAATAAATATGGCGACAAAGATGAGGACAATAGTCCGAATAATGTAAATAATGTACATAATACCTCATATCAGCAATATAGACAGACCATGTGTAAATAAATTATTGCATCGACATTCTTTAAATAAAACTCAAAAATAAAATAAATTCATGAAGAAAGTAACATTAGCCCAGAAGAGAGATAAAAAAAATAGACACAGTTTTAAAATTAAAATCAGTTCAAGGCAATAAAGCCACTAAGACGATGGGACCTGGGGGGGGGTTACTAAGTGTGAAAGAATATAAGAAAAAGAGAAACATTATTAAGGAGCGAGAACAATAAAAGAAAAGCAATTAGGAAGACAGAAGATAACGATTGACATTTCATTTAAACTTTTGAAGACCAAACTGGAAAGCGAGAAGCCGGAAGAGAGTTCCACAAGCGAGAAGTGCGAGAAAAGGAACTGTTAGCATAGAACTTACAGTTACATTTAACCATTTCAGCTGTAAAATGATGAGACCTTGCCGCCAAACTAGTACGGCGCTTAAATTAATAGATTCTAAGTACCATAGAGGAAAGTAACATTTATTTTGAAAATACAACAATGTGGAACAAAGTCAAAAGACAGGATAGCGAAAGATGATTTTCAATCAATCTTATCGTAAAATAATGTTTTTACTTTTTCTTATATTCTTTCACACTTAGTAATCCCCATCATCGTCTTAGTGGCTTTATTGCCTTTGCCTTGTTTGGGCTGATTAGCTAAAATGATTGATTGAAAAATCGTGTCTACTTTTTTTTTGTATTTTATATCTCTCCTGGGCTAATGCTACTTTCTTCGTGAATTTATTTTATTTTGAGTTTTGTTTAAAGAATGTCGACGTAATAATTTATTTACACTTCTTTAAAGAAAAAAACACTGAAATTTGTCATTTCTATCCACATTGCTTTCACGCATGTGCATAGGCAAGAAAATTTTACATTTAAAATTATATGCTTTATATATGCATGAACACAAACGCATATATATATATATATATATATATATATATATATATATATATATAATATTGACACATTTGAACAAACACACACTTCAAAGATCAACATGACTCGCATGTTCTTTGTTGATACGAAAGATTTTGTACACAAATTGACGTCTTAACATTAGCTAACAGCACTTGAGTTTCCCTGAATGGGTAAAACCCTTACGTTTTCAAGGAAAACTGTCAAGAATGTTCTTCTTTCTCTCTAGTTTATGTTTCTTTCTTTTTGAGTTTCCTGAATGAAAGAAACTTTTTTTTTTTGCAAGGAAATCTAAGGGATTTTCTTTCATTTATTTATTTATTTATTTTTCTCTATCTTTTTTCCATAGGAAAAAAAACCTTTTTGGGAATTTTTTCTTTCTCACTTTGGGTTTCACGAAATAACATGATGCTAAAAATGTTCTAAGAAAATTTCCAGAAATTTCTTTACTTTTGAATTCTCTGAATGAAAGAAAAACATAAAGATTTTCAAGGAAATCCAGAAGGAAATTTCTTTCTTTCTTTCTTTCTTTCTTTCTTTCTTTTCTTTCCTTACCTTTCTTTCTTTGCTTTTGAGTTCCCTACGTTCTCCACAAATATGAAGAAGAGACTAGAGGCAATAGAGGTATGGTACTACAGAAGGATGCTGAGGATACCATCGACCGAATATGTGAGCAACATGTGAGGTTTTGGAGAGCATGCAAAG